GATTTTGCAAGGTACATAAGATGAGATGGTAGTATTGCAATGGTTTAAGAGTTGATAAGAGATTAAAATGTTAAAATGTTTAAAAATGATTGGTTTTAAAACTTAATAATAGGAGAGGTTTAGAATATTGTTTTAATTAAAGAGTTTAATAAAATTATGGTATTGATGTTATTATAAAATTTTTATTATAGTATTTCTTTTTAATATTTGGATTTATTCTCTAATTATGCACTTAATTGTGTTGGATGTATTAGTTAGATAGAATGTACCAAGCAAAATCTGATTGGGTATTAGATATTATTTTAAAGATTAATTTGATTAACTTAGGGGGGAGATAGAAAGGCATCATACTCTGATTAATGATTTCAGGAGAAACTGATTTTCTTTTTTTTCATAAGGGATGAGACAAAGGGATGATAAAAAATGGACAAAAGATACAAATATAATGATTTAAACTAAGATGATTAATTAAGGTAGAATTAAGAAGTGTGAAATATGTGGAGAAGTTAATATAGAAGGCTTAGAATGGTAAATAAAATAAGTAATGATATGTAAGATGAGCATGAATATAATTGAAGTCCATGAAAAGAGAGACACCTGGGTCCAAGTTACTTTCCAAAAAGATATTTTTTTATGTTTTGTGTGTTGTGTGTATATGTCTTTTTTTGGGGGAGAATTGGTAAAAACTTGTAGAAATATAGAATGAAGTCAGAAAGAATCAGATGAAATAATAATAATGATATTGAATAAGAGTAAAGAGAAGTAAAGAGAAATTGAATAAGAGGTTTTGGTATATTATATGGAAATGGTTTAAAACAGAATCATAATTTATCTGACTTGTTAAATTTACAATGGAAAAAGGTTTAAACATGTAATGAATAATGATAATTTGTGTGTTTTAAAAATTAATAAAACTTGTTTTAAAAAAAAAAAGAAAGTAAAATCATTACAATGCTTGAGAGACCTCAGTTGTTTGCTGAGATGTGTGGTTATAGAAATAATAAAATAAAATACAGTAAAATACAATAAAATACAATACAATAAAATAAAATAAAAAATTATCTAGAGGAATTTTTCAAAGGACAGTTCAGCCCTGGGAAAGATGCCCCTCAGCCAGTCTATCTTCTCACTTATTCACAGATATCATATTTAGTAACTTTACTACCTGATAATTCTGCTATTTGCATAATTTGCAGAGTTCTTTGTAAAAAATTTAAAAATATCAAAACAGTTTAGGAACTTTGAACTGCTTGTTCAGTCTCCCTTTCGCCTTCCCCAGATGGTGGCAGTAGCAGCCTACAGATAAATATCTTCAATTTTCTTTTACCTTATTCTTAACCTTAAAAGCTTCCTGAAGAAATGTGAAAGCTGGAATGTGAAAGTTCATCTCTATGGAGCTGTTTGGGTCAGTTCTATGAAGTCTGTCCTTGCAGCATATTTGCCATTGTATATCATTAATGTTTATACATTAGCAATTTAGTGTAGCTTACTTCTAAAAATATTAAATTTTACACAACAAAAAAAATTACTATCTCAATGTGTAACAGGACTGCATAACATTAAAGAAATCTAAATTATAATTTAATAGAAGTATTTGTTAGTATGAAATTCACAATGGAGAACAGGTTTCTGCAAATGCAAGCAACAGAAAAGGCATTATTTCTATCACAGTACATGGTATGTCACTTCAATACCCTTTTAACCAAAATTATCTTAAAGTATGTCCAGCACTTCCATCACAGTTGCTTTTCCCCCTACATCATAACCGATTTCAAATGGTGCTAGACAAAAACTAAGACTCTGAACACCAAGAGAAATCGGTCAGCCTGTGTAAGAGATGTTTTCCTGAGTCAACATTGGTTGTTAAAGCGCTATAGGTTATGCAGAACATGCTAACAATCTGGTATTTTCATTAAGCAAATGCTCTTTAATATTTATCTTGAAAAATTAGTCTGAATAGATGGTTAGATGTCATTGGTTAATTTTTATTTGAAATTTGTGACTTAATACCAATTAAATGTAAACACTAACCATTACAATTTGTAAAACCTAAAGTTCCTGTTTTAATAACAATACTTTATTCACTTGCTAATTTGGTATGTGTACTGAGATATATTTTCTAAATGCTCAGTGTCCATTACATGCATCTGCTTTTTGGGGGGGAGGGAGATAAAAGCACATAGCATCTTCAAGATAGACTGTAGTGTATGTTCATATGCATCCATACTCATTAAGTTAGATGAATTGATTCATTTCTAAGTAAGTATATTGAAGTGTTCTACTAGCTAATAAGCAAACAAAAGCAAACAATTCCTCTTACATCAGCAAACCCAATTCAGAGTTTTTCTTTCAGTAAAAAAGTATTGTTATATAAGATTGGCTTTTTTAGAATAACTTTGATTCAATCAGGGCTAAACAAAATAAAAGCAGTATTTTATGTAATTGTTTCAGGGTAGCAGAAGAGTGTTGTGTATAATAGATCATTGACATGTGGTTCTCTCCATGTTTCAGTTCTATCTGTGATGTATACAGACCTGGAAAGAGTCATCTTTTGTTGTATCACTTTTTAATCTTATTTTCAATTAACATTTCAGCTCTTGCTTAATGATAGCTTTGTTGCTGCTTTCTTTTCTACATCCAGTGTTGTAATTCTTGCTCCTAGAACACTGATTTCAAATGGTGCTAGATACAGAGATGGAAAAATCTAAGCCACCATGTGAAACCAGCTTCCAGAGGAAGACACATTGTTGTTTCCATGTTCAGCATCCATGTATTTTATAGGAAGTCCTGCAAGTTTCCTAGAAGGAAATTCTTTTGTGGTTTCTGTTTAATACATACCATATCAAAAGTAGGTACAACATTTCATTCAACATAATACTTAAAAACTGAGAACATTCTATCTGGTAAAGAAATAGATTTAAGAAAGAAGTATAATTAAATTATCTATTAGCATGGGAAGCTTGCAGTTCCTTCTTATATGTATAGCGTATAAAAACTCACATTACTATAACATATTAAAATTAACGCCCATTAACTGTGTCCAGTAGAATGTTCTACTATCAGAACAAATTATTCCTTCCAATGCATCCAAGTCTACTCTGGAGATCATTATCCCAAAATACAAATGAGAAATGCTGTTAGGCGATAGAATCCAATCTTCTGCTTAAGGCAGAAATTCAAATTGAAACCGTACCAAGAAATGCCTGACTAGCATCAACTTAAACATATACAATGAAGGGAAGCTATCACACCTACAGTGAATTGGTTCTCAGAATGGACCTCAAAAGTTCAGGGAGTATAAAAGAGAAAAAGGAGTGTGACATAACAAAGCATAGAACCAATTAAGAAAGTAATTCTCCTTATTACTTTTAAATTCTCCTCAAGTTATTGCTCTTCCAAAAGTCTGTAGAGATTTTATTATTTATTTGATTTGTCAATTGCTTACAAGATAATAGATATAAATATAAACATGAATAAGAACACAGAAAACAGGTACGAATAAATGGGAACAATAGGACAGGGATGGTAGGCACGATGGTGCACTTATGCGTGCCCATACAGACCTCTTTTTCAGTCATCCTGCTCATGGTTTTCCCAAAGGTGCTTTTTCAGGAGGCAACTGGACTTTCTTGTTTTTTGTTTTGAAGATATTTCAGTTCTCATCCAAGAAGTTTCTTCAGCTCTGACAGGATAGTGGGGAATGGAAGAATTTATATTCCTTGAAGACAGATCCTTTTAGAAGGTCATTGAAGCACTTGGAGGTTTATCTGTGTCCTCAGGGTCACCTGAATAGTGCTCCTGGTTCCCGTAGTCTGTAATTTTTCCTCTGGAAATCCATTCCTACTCCCACACCATTCAAAGGGTGTTCATCTCAAATTGTATAGCTAAAAGTCTGTAGAGATTCTCAGTCATTCAGGTTATGGCTGAAGAAGCTTCTTAGATGAGAAGTGAAACATCTTCAAAACAAAAAACAAGAAAAGTACAGTTGCCTCCTGAAAAAACAACTTTGCTCTTCCAGAGGTATTTTGGATACTCAGAGGACATGAAGAAAATTCTTTAATTTTGCAACATATAGGCAGATTTAAGCATAGTTTCAATCGGGAAAATGTGACATTTCTAGACCAGGCCAAGTCCAAAACTGCCAGGAAATTTCTAGAAGCCTGGCACTCTGACAAATCAGCCACCAATAGACACATAGACATCTATAGACTGCAAAAGAGACAAGCAACCAACCCAAAAGAGAACAAAAAGACTCCAGCACCTCTCCACCAGTAATCGGCACCCAGATCAGCATAGATTAACTCCAAGCTTAAGTTCAGACCAACAATCAAGTAACAATGCCCCAATGAAGAAACTGTCAAAGAGCCATCAGTAAACAGCCCAACCAAAGAATCCCTAAGACAGACAGGCAAGTCACCAGAATATAAACTGACATCAAACAGCACTCCTTGCTGCACTGATGAGGTCACCTAGTTAGGGCAATGAAATGTTTGCAAGAAAACAAGCTCACAGATCACCCAGGACCCCTCATTTCAACCCTGAGTTATAAATATTCTCCTTTATTCTCTACCAGAAGCATTGGCATTTCTGACAAGGACCACAACAGGGAGTGGCAACTCCATCATTTACAGTATGATGTTAAGCAAAGCATCACATCACATGATGGAATTACAAAACCTCACTTCTGCTGCGGGTGTTAAATGAAAATCAACCTGTGGTCATTAAGTGAGACAAGACTGACTTGCATTTCACTGCCAGCTTCCCCATTGATTCTCTTTGTTGAAAGTCAACTGTGAAGCTCGCAAGTGGTGATCATATAACTGTGGGACATTGTACTGATTGCAAATGCTGATTGCAAAATGTCTTCGTCTCAATCCTGTGACCACAGGGACAGCACAATGCTCAAGTACAAGGCCACCATCATAACTTTGAATGGTTGCTAAACAAGGTAATAAGTAAGGACTACCTGTACTTCAAAATTATTCCTATAGCACTTACCATTTGGTTATCTCTTGTAGTAAGCCACCAAGCATCTAACCAAACTACTTTCTTAAAGTTTTGACTTGTTCATCATTATCACCTTCTTTAGTTGTTCTGTAGTTCTTTTACTGAAAAAAATGAAGAAACATTATGAAATGAGCAAACATTAATGCCAATTCAGTTTGATATAGTTATTCTCTTTCAATGTAATACATCTTGAAGTCAAAATTATCCCCAAATATTTAACTTTATTCGTAACTTGAATTTTCAAATATATCAAACTTAAACAGCAGATAGCATCCGACTTGAAAAAGTGGGAAAATTTACAATTGTCTTTGATAGGTAGAATTTCAACAATTAAAATGAATATTTTACCTAGAATTTTATATTTGTTTTAAACAATACCAATCAAGCTAAGTAAGGACTATTTTGAAGAATTAAATAAAATTGTGTTGAAATACATATGGCAAGGTAAGAAAGCAAGAATAAAATTAAAACTTTTACAGGATGCCAGAATTAGAGGAGGATTTGGCCTTCCTAACTGGGAGTTGTATTATCAAGCTGCAAACTTAATGTGGGCTAAAGAATGGATAACATTAAGAAAGACTAGATTATTGATATTGGAAGGACATGACCTATTGTTGGGTTGGCATGCTTTTTTGTGGTATAAAGGAACTAAATCCCAGGGCTATTTTAGAAGGCACTATATACGGGAATCGTTATGGTTGAATTGGGAGAAAATTAAGAAACAATGTTATTTGAAAATTCCAGTTTGGTTATCAACTATCGAAGCTTTTTCTTATCCTATAGTTTATAAGAAGGAACAAACAGTTAGATATGGGGAAATATTGGATGAAAAGGGTGAACTTAAAACGATGCAAAAGTTAGAAGAACAAGATATAAAGATGAGTTGGTTTTCATATGCGCAAATACACTCAAGGTATCTTAAAGATTCTAAAACAGAAGGTTTTTATGATAAATTGACTGATTTAGATAGGATTTTGACAGGTTCTGATGAAAAGGTGATTAAAAAACTATATAGTCATTTGTTGGAAATTAAACTAGAGGAAGAACAAGTTAAAGAAACAATGATTGCTTGGGGGAAAAACTTTGGATATGGGATTGATTTGGAGAAATGGCAAAAATTGTGGTCTCAAAATTATAAAATGACAATGTCAGTAGCATATAAAGAAAACTTGTATAAGATGTTTTACAGGTGGCATTTTCCTCCGACAAGAATAGCAAGAATGTTCAAGAACAAATCTGAAAAATGCTGGAAATGTCATCAGACTCCTGGCTCATATTACCACATGTGGTGGACTTGTGAGGACGCAAAAAAATATTGGACTAAAATTCGCATGTGGTTGGAAAAAATGACAAAGGAACATATAGATTTGAAACCAGAGATTTTTTTATTGGGAATCTTACCTGATACATTTAATAAAAATTTAAAGTATCTGATTGTAAATGTATTAACAGCGGCTAGGATTGTATTTGCTAAAAACTGGAAAAGTGAGAAAATACCATTGGAGGAAGAAATTATTAAGAAAATATTGAACTGTGCTGAAATGAGTAGATTGACATTTGAAATTAGAGAACAGGAAGATAAACAGTTTTATGAAATTTGGGATCTTTTTTACCATTGGTTAGATAATGCAATATAATAATAGAATACTTAGAAACTTTGGAAATAATGATTATATATATTTCTTTTTTTTCTTTTTTCTTTTTTCTTGGCTTTGATAACATTTTTAGAATATTTCATTACGATAGACTTGGTATGATTTTATGATTCGTAATAAGATAAGTTAAATAAACTATAGTTATCTCGTTTAAGTATGAATTATTAAAATCAGTTAAATGATTGTTTAATAACAATATTAGGATATACAATTGTTGATTGATAATATGAGTTACTATGTAAAATAACTATTATGAAGGTTATGAAATAGATGCACAAAAAGGAGTGATAAACCAACCGATGCACTGTCTGTAAATATATGAAGAAGAATAATGTTTTTATGTCATGTCTTATGTTGTTTGTGTTTTTGTTTGTTGTTAAAATCAATAAAAAAACCTTTTTACAACAATTAATGCCAATTCAGATAAGCCCAATACATTCTTCCAATAGCTTCCCATCTTTATTTCTTTTTTCAACCTTTTCTGCCTCTTTTCATTATTGTTCTATATTCTGGATCATTTTTTTTCTTGACGCTTGTTTTTATGTATTACAATCATATCTGGATCAATTTTTTATGCTTTAACTAGGCATTTTTGTAATTTATTCCACACCGAAATTTCACAATTTGAAGCTATTTTTGAAATATGTTTGTTCCTCAGTTATATGATTTCCTTTTATTTCCAGCCATTCCTTCTCCTACAGCTTCATCAGCCCCTTTTTCCCTCCCTCAGGTTTTCTTATTCAACATTGTCCTCATCTAATCCCTCATTTTACTCCTTTGTGAACTTTTGCATATCTCCAACTGTTCTTTTCATTTTCCCACAATTTCTTTTTTTGAAAATAAAGCAATCATTTTTGAATAACAAAGGCATTATTTTTAATTTTGCTTTTTCTAGGTGATATATTTTGTCTTGATCAATATTTAGCAACTTCTTTCTTCCTTTGTGCATCACTTTTATTTAGATTGGAAGTTTGGAAACATTAATAAATGTTGTTACTAGTTAGGGTATCTAGATAGTAAATTCTCTTCATTGTAACTTTTACTCCCAGATTTTGTAATTAACAATTACCTGATCTTTACTGAATAGTATTCAACTACTTTTTCTGAACTAGACCACTATACATGTGAAGTTTGCCTCAGTTTTCAACTACTCTCATTCTCATTTTATTGGTCATCAACGATTTTGGCAATTATTACAATACAATTTGCAAATACAACTGTAGTGTAATTTAATTCTTGTGGGTAAGTGATCTAAATGCTAAATAACCATGGCTTTTAAATTAAAAAAAAATCAAATTACTACTATTACTTTTATACTGTGCAAAGCCTTCAAAAATGATATTTTGCAGCATGCAGGACTATATTTTCCAATAATGAAAGCATTAAGCATTATTTACAAGATTCATATATATCCTTTGCAAGATGTACTAACCACATTGCTTTACTTTTTTTCAAGCAAAACAAAATGATTGTACATATAAAGTACTTTTCTCAAAAAAAATTGAACAGGCTTGTTTTTAGCAACCTAATCAGTTCTGGAAATCAACTCTGAAGAATTGTATACTGATATGCAGAATAATGATTTTTAAAGATGATGATCAATGTAAGTTAAAATGACTAATTTGTTGAAAAGTAATTAAAATCATTATGTATCCCTGGCAACCTATTTGCCCTTGAAGGCATGTTTTCACTCAAGAATACTACATACTGGTCTTTTGGATCATGTCCGGGGCAGTTATAATTGGTATTGAAGTTGGATAAACTACCATCAGACATTCAACTAGCCTACTAAACATTTGGAATAAAATGTTTTAGAAGGGAGTTACTATATCACTTATTTATTTAGTGTCTGATGAGAACATGACAGAAGAAAATAAATATATACTATGTCAGTAAATTGCTCACAAATAAGAAATTATATTTTAGGAAAAAGGAGATTTGATATTTGGTCTTCACCAGAGATATTTTCATTAGAGGAACATTTCAATGGATCAGATTTAATTTTCCCCAAGTGCTTTTCTTGGGCAATCTAGCACATTCAAGCCTTTACATGTAGTCCTTACAGGTTTATGACCAATTCTTGCTTTTACAGTTCTCAAAGAGTCTTGTAGTCACATGATCACCACAGTCATAATTCTCAAGCATCTTGCAAGAAGCAGAATTAATGGAGAATGTGCCTTCTATAAAAGTGTTAGTGTGGGGGCCATTCTAATCTCTGGGGGAATGATGTTCCATAATGAAGATTTAATGATAGCATAAATCTACCTGGCTTATTAAAAATTACATTCATTCTTTAAAATATGGATATATAACTCACTATGACTAGACAAATGAGATAACATTTCTGCTGTGATTGCTGTCAAAGCAAATTAGTTTGATACCAATAATAATTATGCTCAAGTGCTTGGTAATCAATTCCTTGTTTTTCTTCTCAAAAGAGGAAGAAGGATATATTTTTCAGGATCCAATTAAATGTTATTTTCCCACCATATTTATTTAGAGTCCTAAGTAAAAAGTATTTAACCTGCAATCAATATATTCTAGCTTTATGCTTCAAATATTTGGGAATGACACTGTATATGTGCATTCTACTTTCATAATTGCTACTGATGAAGGAAACAATTTTTGTATTATATTAAATGCCTGTAATTAAGCATGAAAAATTACATGGATATGCAACATTTATGCTACTAACTAAGAAGTATTATTGTGATTTTTTTTACATTGTTGTTGCTTATAGGGTACTCAGCATATACAACCCTTTACAAACCAATATACACAAAACAAGGGCTCCCTTTGACTCAACATGTTGATAATCTAAATTGTCAAGAGTAAGTTGGATGGCACGAAACAAGGAAATAAATGAATGGGATCAAATGCTACAATACATTTGAACTACTTGTATTCACTTATTTATTCTTCACTCCTTAAAGAAGAACTACACTTTTTAATTTTCCCCAATGGAGTTTTTTGAGGGAGAGAACTGAAATGACTGAAAGGAACAACAATAATGGCAAAAATGATATTTCAATGTATTCTTGATTAACTAGCTATAAAATAGATAGGTGACATGCAGGACCCATATTTCCTTCTTCCAGGTCTTATTCATAGGAGAGGAATTCCACGTAGAGAAGTACAGGCCACACACACTAGTGCAGAAACATATTTTCTTCTAGCAGTGATTATATATGGATATTCTACCTATGTTGGAACACAGAACAAGATTGATTGAACACTGAAGGGAGTTTACTTATTGAAAGGACAAAAAATGGTAACTCAATGAAAAATAGTATGAATATCCCACAAATCTGCAACACAAAAACATTATATCAAGGACTTTTGTTATGTTAAATAAATATTTTAAATTTATGAAGCCTCAGAAGATATGGCATTCTTTACATGTAAACTTACAGAAACAAAAGGAAATGCTCAGTTCTTAAGAAGAC